AGGGTGTAGTTGAGGCAGTGTTCTGGGTGTAGATGAGAGAGTCCAGGGGGATAGTGAAGGCTGTGTTCAGGGTGTAGGGACGAGAGAGTCCAGGGTATAGTGGATGCAGTGCTCAGAGTGGAGATGAGAGAGTGACCAGGGTTTTAGAGGAGGCAGTGTTCATGGTGTAGATGAGAGAGTGACCAGGGTGTAGTGGATGCAATGTTCAGAGTGTAGGTGAGAGAGTGACCAGGTAGTAGTGGAGGCAGTGTTCAGAGTGGAGATGAGAGAGTGACCTGGGTTTTAGAGGAGACAGTGCTCAGAGTGGAGATGAGAGAGTGACCAGGGTGTGGTGGATGCAATGTTCAGAGTGTAGGTGAGAGAGTGACCAGGTAGTAGTGGAGGCAGTGTTCAGAGTGGAGATGAGAGAGTGACCTGGGTTTTAGAGGAGGCAGTGCTCAGAGTGGAGATGAGAGAGTGACCAGGGTGTAGTTGAGGCAGTGTTGAGGGTGTAGGTGAGAGAGTGACCGGGGTGTAGTGGATGCAATGTTCAGAGTGTAGGTGAGAGAGTGACAAGGTAGTAGTGGAGGCAGTGTTCAGAGTGGAGATGAGAGAGTGACCGGGATGTAGTGGATGCAATGTTTAGAGTGTAGGTGAGAGAGTGACCAGGTAGTAGTGGAAGCAGTGTACCGAGTGGAGATGAGAGAGTGACCGGGGTGTAGTGGAGGCAGTGTTCAGAGTGTAGGCGAGAGAGTGACCGGGGTGTAGTGGAGGCAGTGTTCAGAGTGTAGGTGATAGAGTGACCAGGTAGTATTGGAGAAAGTTTTCAGGGTGAAGGTGAGAGAGTGACCAGTGTGTAGTTGAGGCAGTGTTCTGGGTGTAGATGAGAGAGTCCAGGGGGATAGTGAAGGCTGTGTTCAGGGTGTAGGGAAGAGAGAGTCCAGGGTATAGTTGATGCAGTGCTCAGAGTGGAGATGAGAGATTGACCAGTGTGTAGTGGAGGCAGTGTTCAGGGTGTGGGTGAGAGAGTGACCAGGGTTTTAGAGGAGGCAGTGTTCAGGGTGTGGGTGAGAGAGTGACCGGGGTGTAGTGGATGCAGTGTTCAGGGGGTGGGTGAGAGAGTGACCAGGGTTTTAGAGCAGGCAGTGTTCAGGGTGTGGGTGAGAGACTGACCAGTGTGTAGTGGAGACAGTGTTCAGGGTGTAGGTGAGAGAGTGACCAGGGTTTTAGAGCAGGCAGTGTTCAGGGTGTGGGTGAGAGAGTGACCGGGATGTAGTGGATGCAGTGTTCAGAGTGGCGATGAGAGAGTGACCAGGTAGTAGTGGAGGCAGTGTTCAGAGTGTGGATGAGAGAGTGACCGGGGTGTAGTGGAGGCAGTGTTCAGTGTGGAGATGAGAGAGTGACCGGGGTATAGTGGATGCAGTGTTAAGAGTGTAGGTGAGAGAGTGACCAGGTAGTAGTGGAGGGAGTGTTCAGAGTGGAGATGAGAGAGTGACCAGGGTGTAGTTGAGGCAGTGTTGAGGGTGTAGGTGAGAGAGTGACCGGGGTGTAGTGGATGCAATGTTCAGAGTGTGGGTGAGAGAGTGACCGGGGTGTAGTGGAGGCAGTGTTCAGAGTGCGGGTGAGAGAGTGACCAGGGTATAGTGGATGCAATGTTCAGAGTGTAGGTGAGAGAGTGACCAGGTAGTAGTGGATGCAATGTTCAGAGTGTAGGTGAGAGAGTGACCGGGGTGTAGTGGATGCAATGTTCAGAGTGTGGGTGAGAGAGTTACCGGGGTGTAGTGGAGGCAATGTTCAGAGTGTAGGTGAGAGAGTGACCAGGTAGTAGTGGAGGCAATGTTCAGAGTGTAGGTGAGAGAGTGACCAGGGTGTAGTGGAGGCAGTGTTCAGAGTGGAGATGAGGGAGTGACCGGGGTGTAGTGGATGCAATGTTCAGAGTGTATGTGAGAGAGTGACCAGGTAGTAGTGGAGGCAGTGTTCAGGGTGTAGGTGAGACAGTGACCAGGGTGTAGTGGATGCAATGTTCAGGGTGTAGGTGAGAGAGTGACCAGGGTGTAGTGGAGGCAGTGTTCAGAGTGGAGATGAGAGAGTGACCAGGGTGTAGTGGATGCAATGTTCAGAGTGTAGGTGAGAGAGTGACCAGGTAGTAATGGAGGCAGTGTTCAGAGTGTAGGTGAGAGAGTGACCAGGGTGTAGTGGAGGCAGTGTTCAGGGTGTAGGTGAGAGAGTGAGCAGGGTGTAGTGGATGCAATGTTCAGAGTGTATGTGAGAGAGTGACCAGGTAGAAGTGGAGGCGGTGTTCAGAGTGTAGGTGAGAGAGTGACCAGGTAGTAGTGGAGGCAGTGTTCAGAGTGTGGGTGAGAGAGTGACCAGGGTGTAGTGGAGGCAGTGTTCAGTGTGGAGATGAGAGAGTGACCAGGTATAGTGGATGCAATGTTAAGAGTGTAGGTGAGAGAGTGACCAGGTAGTAGTGGAGGCAGTGTTCAGAGTGGAGATGAGAGAGTGACCAGGGTGTAGTTGAGGCAGTGTTGAGGGTGTAGGTGAGAGTGTGACCGGGGTGTAGTGGATGCAATGTTCAGAGTGTAGGTGAGAGAGTGACCAGGTAGTAGTGGAGGCAGTGTTCAGAGCGGAGATGAGAGAGTGACCAGGTAGTAGTGGAGGCAGTGTTCAGAGTGTGGGTGAGAGAGTGACCGGGGTGTAGTGGAGGCAGTGTTCAGTGTGGAGATCAGAGAGTGACCGGGGTATAGTGGATGCAATGTTCAGAGTGTAGGTGAGAAAGTGACCAGGTAGTAGTGGATGGAATGTTCAGAGTGTAGGTGAGAGAGTGACCGGGGTGTAGTTGAGGCAGTGTTGAGGGTGTAGGTGAGAGAGTGACCGGGGTGAAGTGGATGCAATGTTCAGGGTGTAGGTGAGAGAGTGACCAGGTAGTAGTGGAGGCAGTGTTCAGAGTGTGGGTGAGAGAGTGACCGGGGTGTAGTGGATGCAGTGTTCAGAGTGGCGATGAGAAAGTGACCAGGTAGTAGTGGAGGCAGTGTTCAGAGTGTGGGTGAGAGAGTGACCGGGGTGTAGTGGAGGCAGTGTTCAGTGTGGAGATGAGAGACCGACCAGGGTGTAGTTGAGGCAGTGTTCAGGGTGTATGTAAGAGAGTGACCAGGGTGTAGTGGAGGCAGTGTCCAGGGTGTAGGTGAGAGAGTGACCAGGGTGTAGTGGAGGCAGTGTTCAGGGTGTAGGTGAGAGAGTGACCAGGGTGTAGTGGAGGCAGTGTTTAGGGTGTAGGTGAGAGAGTGACCAGGGTGTAGTTGAGTTAGTGTTGGGGGTGTTGGTGAGAGTGTGACCAGGGTGTAGTTGAGGCAAGGTTTAGGGTGTAGGTGAGCGAGTGACCAGGCTTTTATTTGAGTCAGTGTTCAGGGTGTAGGGAAGAGAGAGTCCTGGGTGTATTGGAGATAGTATCCAGTGTGCAGGGGAGAGATTTACCAGGGTATAGTGGAGGCAGTGTTCAGAGTGGAGATGAGAGACCGACCAGGCTGTAGTTGAGGCAGTGTTCAGGGTGTATGTTAGAGAGTGACCAGGGTGTAGTGGAGGCAGTGTTCAGTGTGTATGTGAGAGAGTGACCAGGGTATAGTGGAGGCAGTGTTCAGTGTGTAGGTGAGCGAGTGACCAGGGTGTAGTGGAGGCAATGTTTAGGGTGTAGGTGAACGATTGACCAGGGTTTTAGGTGAGGCAGTGTTTGGGGTTTAGATGACAGAGGCCAGGTTGTAGTGAAGGCAGTGTTCAGGGTGTAGGGAAGAGAGAGTCCTGGGTGTATTGGAGACAGTATTCAGTGTACAGGGGAGTGATTTACCAGGGTGTAGTGGAGGCAGTGTTCAGGGTGTAGGGAAGAGAGAGTCCAGGGTTTAGTACAGGCAGTGTTCAGAGTGGAGATGAGAGAGTGACCAGGGTGTAGACGAGGCAGTGTTCAGGGTGTATGTGAGAGAGTGACCAGGGTGTAGTGGAGGCAGTGTTCAGAGTGTAGGTGAGAGAGTTACCAGGGTTTTAGTTGAGGCAGTGTTCAGGGTGTAGAAGACAGAGGCCAGGTTGTAGTGGAGGCAGTGTTCAGAGTGGAGATGAGAGGGTGACCAGGGTGTAGTTGAGGCAGTGTTCAGGGTGTAGGTGAGAGAGTGACCAGGGTGTAGTGGAGGCAGTGTTCAGGGTGTAGGGGAGAGATTTACCATAGTTTAGTGGAGGCAGTATTCAGAGCGTTTTGGAAAGAACGCCCACGTTGTAGTGGGGGCTGTTTTCAGGGTGGGTGTTGAGGAGAGTGCGTCCAGGGTGTAGTGACGGATGTTTTCAGGGTGTTGGAGAGAGATTTACCAGGGTTTAGGGGAGGCAGTGTCAGGGTGTACATGTAAGTGGGTAAGAGGTATGTTTATGACGCACCGTGTCAACATATTGACACTGAAATATAAGATGAACGTGTTCCAAGTCTATAGCTTGGGTCAAACTGTTATGACATGCATGTATATCTGTATCTGCATGTATAGGGTGTATATATCTATATCTATTTTTCAGACATAAATCTATAGGAAGTATCTTTATCCAAATCTCAGAATGCACGAGGGGTAATTAATCACCACAATAATCACGCATAGTAATGAAGGAAGTATTCTCCGCCGTAATCTCGAGTCATGCCTTGTCCGTTGGTTCCCATCGATACTCGGCTCTCGTCTACCACCTGACCTAGATAAATGTCCGCCATGTTTTAAGTTGTGTATTAATCCTTCCGGGTTTGTACTCCGGACAGGACATAGCTATAGGTTGTTCTGTAGAATTATATACATAATATCCCGATTTGAAAAGTGATAACTAATACACATTTGAACCTGCGCGTCTCATAAGCAATGTATTCAACTTAAACCTAGTTTCGGTATCGTCAGGGCTTCATTTACGTGAAATAAACAACATTCAGCATTGTAACCAAATACATTTATTTATGCCGTTCTCTCAAATTAATTAGAATTGCTAGCTACTTTAGATTAACTTACAGTCAACGAAGTCACTGATACATTGCCTCGGAACAGACCAACTGTAGGAGTGTGGGCAAATCCAACTTATCTGTGACTGTAAGAGAACGGGGCTCCTCGCAGGGAAGATATGTCTATGTTGTCATGTGAGTTTTGTAATGCGTTACAATGCAATGAGGATTTCGTGTTATATAACCATAGCTCGGTAACTCATAACTACCGCTTGGTGTTATGCCCTGAAGAGTTACTTGCCTTGACTGGGAAGACAATCTGTAAGGATCGTCGGGGACACTTTCTTCGTATAATTCTGACATACACACGTGGTCGACCAAAGCGGTGCAGTTGGGGTGGATGGGGGTCGGGTGGGGTTGGGGGGTTGGGGGGATGTGTGTGTGTGTGTGTGGGGGGGGTTTTCCACACGCCATCATATTCAATCATCTGTTGCTGCAAAATGATTATTTCCTCAAGATTAAACTCTGTTTGTTTGTTTGTTTGTTTGTTGTTTAAAGCCGTATTCAGCATTATTCCAGCTATATGACGACGGTCTGTAAACCTTGTAATGTGTTTTGTCTAATTATTTAGCTGGCCAGTTGAACCTGCACTATCAAAATGTATTATGGAATGTTCCACTGTGCATATGGAAACCAAGGCTGTAGATAAGATGATAGTCTCAAATGAAATGCTCAGATAAGTATTCAGCCATGATTGTTATCTGTTTGAGACAGTGAAGAACTGGTTGTGGACGACTTTGTACATGGCTTTGCTGGGCCATCTGCTATTTTTGACCGTGGCTTTATTCCCTGATTCTCGGGGATTAAATGTCAATATCTACATCGACACCAACGTTGTCCTCAACAGAGTTCAGGACAACTTTGTTGGCGTCACCCTCGACTCCGGCATTATTCAAACTGGTTTGGAAAAGAGTGGTCTCAACTTGTCGTGAGTTTTCTTTTTTTCTCAAGTTAGCTGAATATGCGTCCTTAGTGGTCCACTTTCGCCTTGCAGAATTGTGTGTTCAATGTTTTTGTTATCATTGACATGGCACAATGACGGTCACAAAAACACCTGAGCTCATTCTATCATGGGTGGGTGCTTACTCTCTGCATCAAACTGGAGTTTCTCGAAATATTAACCTGAGAAGCTGTAGTACTCGTATCAGCGATAACAGTGGCGTTACACTCATTCACTTACTCACTCACTCACTCACTCATTCACTCACTCACCCACTCACTTAAGCTGATTCTGTGCCAATTGTTTGTGCAATTCAAGGTATGTTAATGACATTTCAACTAAAGTTCGAATGGCTTTCTCACATATCATTTTCACCTCTAATCGAGTCGTTTCTTAATCCATGCTATTTTCAATTAGATCACCCAAATTGCTTAATCTGGCTGGGGGCTTCCAACCGAACATCCTTAGAATCGGCGGGACTGCCGAAGATGGCATTTCCTTTGACCCGAATAGCGTCACAGAAAACAACCAGGGGGATCTTTCAGGTATATATTTCTCCTTCTTATTTATCTTTGAGATCAGGTTAAAATATTCGAAACTGGACAAAATATTTCAGTTGTTTGTTTATTTGTTTGCACTCAACAGTATTCTAGTTATATGACGTCAGTCTGTAAATAATCGAGTGTGGACCAGGCAATCCAGTGAGTAAGATCATGAACATCGACCTTTGCAAATGCGATACGATGACATGCAATCAACCAAGTCAGTTAGGCCGAAACCTGATCCATTTGTCACCTCTTACAAGTAGTGGTTGTTGGGGACTTATATTATTCTTACCTGAACCCATCAACCCGCAACCAAACTGGAAGAACACCTCTAACGCATCAAGGAAGATTATTTCCTATTTTTGTACTGAATTCCAAGCTCCATAAAAATCCGTACAAAGTTATTGCTGGGTCCAGCAAATGTACTATCATCCAGAAAAAAAAGCAAGAAATTAATTTCTTTAAATTCATAGAAAGTATTGGAGATAAATGGATTAAATATCATGATGATTCTCAAAATTGCAAATGGTTCGCTTATTTTGTTTCTAATCTCAGAAAAGACCAAATGTCATTTATGTCCAAATGTTGTTTTTTTATTTTTGTTCACCGCGGATCCACATGACAATCTTAATGAAAAACTTCATTCTTTGATCCAAACGTGATGGCCATTCATATAGTTACATCTCTCTTCAAGGTTTATTGAGAAAACAATGTGTGATATGATGGAGTCTGGACCAGACGATCCAGTGACTGACATCACGAGGAAACGATCTACGCTTTTGAGATCCGATGACATGCATCAACCAAGTCAGCGAGCCAGTTGCTCTCTTATGAACGTATGTATATGTTTTTCCAGCTTCTGTTTGGGATGAAATCAACGCTTTCACATCCCTTGTTGGATGGGATCTGATATTTGGCCTGAATGTCCTTGAAAGACGAGATGGGCAGTGGGACCCTACCAACGCTGAGCTATTCCTAAATTACACATCCAAGAAAGGATATCAATTATATGGCCTAGAACTTGGCAACGGTAGGTGGGGCATAAGAGTGGTAGGGTTCACGAGTGAGTGAGTTGGGTATAACGCCGTTTTAAACATTATTCCAGTTATATCACGGCGTGTCAGCTTAATATGGGAGGAAACCCTGAAGTGATGCAGGTCTCAGACCTTTACCAGTTCAGTGAAACCCAAGAGCACGGGTATGGTGCTGACAAACCCAGAAACATAATCAGGGCGAACCTTCATTCGAACCCACAATCATAGGTTTCTGGCGTGCCCAAGGGACGCAACTCTGCACAGCGAATCGTGGCGCCTCAGACGACTGGGCCACCCGTGCCCCCCGGTAAGGTTCAGGACGAAGAGAAGCACAAACCATACTGTAAATCTTACCGGAGAATGTCATGTAAACAACGTACATGTGTGGACCCTCTGCATGCCAAAAAAATGGTTAGGGGATTGATTGTAATTAACGTGGTTTGAAACCCGTTCATGGTGTCACCTTCCGTGATATGACAGGAATAGTGCTGACGGGGACATGAAACCAACCCCACTCACTAGTTCATTCAGGACTATGAAATAGGATCTCAAAATCCTGCTCTCTAAATATTTTTCATATTTCTATATATTTCTTGCAGTCTATTCGAAATTTGATTATCAGTGATATTCATGTTTCGTGGCTTTTCTGCGAGTTTTATATGGGTAATGTGTAAGTTTTTATTCAAATGAGTTTGATATTTGATCTGTGGTATCTTAGACTAGTCACTTTCCTAGAGCCTCGGATGTTCCCCAAAAACTTTAACCAGTCAGTGTCGGCCCAGCAACTTGGAAAGGATTTTGGAACACTAGAGAAGGTGCTCAGAGATCGGCCACACTTCAACAACACTCGAATTCTAGGGCCAGATGTTGCGGGCATTTTATCAAACGCTACCATCTCATATGTGGAAGAGTGAGTTTGTTTTCAAAGATTCAGTGTAAAATATCTTTGTGTGGATGGACCTCAATTTAACATGGTGCATTTAAACAGCAAGCATACACTACTGCCCCATGCAATGATAACGTCTATTCGAAGGAGAGCGGGGGGATGGCTGTTTCGGTCCACTGGTCGCGGCACACGAAATTGACGGTAAGAAGATAGTACTTGTTGTTACCCTGCCTGGTGATAGGCATTAAGGGGATCGGAAAAAAACTGGCCTGCTGGAAGAGTAATATTTCACCCGACCACATCTTATTCGAAATATGCAACACCACATGACCGTTTTGTGTATTGAAAATGTTTTTTATCCTGTTTGGTGAAAAAGATTATAATCATTTTTGAAGGAATAGGAAAACTAAAATCTAACTATGTTGAGTGTATATTTTTTTAGTATTTCTATAATTAACAATCATTATCCATATCTATTTATAATAGCAGTATTGGTTCCTTGAAGGAATATGGATCTTACAAATAACAATGACAATTGTATCTGTTGTCAACTTTCTCATTGAAAAATGGAGTGAGTTAGTGAGTGTTGTTTTACGCCGCTTTTAGCAATATTCCAGCCATATCACGGCGGGGGACACCAGAAATGGGCTTCACACATTGTACCCATGTCGGGAATCGAACCCGGGTTTTCGGCTCGACGAGCGAACGCTTTAACCACTAGGCTACCCGACCGGCCCTTGAAATATGGAAATGAATGCTCCTTATACATATGCTGCTTGGTATTTCTGTAAATATCTCACATCTGTTGTTTTTTTTAATTTCGCATATAAGGTTTTTAGCTGCAGGCGGAGCCAGTGCGCTGGATGGGGTAACGTTCCACCAGTGAGTATGAATAAAGTCGATGTTGTCATCAGCTCATCAAATGTTTGTTTGATGTATCCAAACCCCTTTTGCAGTCAGCCGTAACTGCCTACGAGATGCGTGTTGGGATTGAGAAAAGAAAATATGAAATACATTACGACATTGAAGGACAAAACACTCAGGTTATTCGCCACTAATGAATGCATACACAAGTCTACAGCACATGTTTCTTGTATATGTACAATTGACTCCTTAAAAGTAAACATTATCGTGTACGTGACACATGTTCCTTGTATTTGTCTGTATAAACGACTCCTTAATAGGAAACATACTCGTGTACATGACACATGTTCCTTGTATTTGTCTGAATAAACGACTCCTTAAAAGGAAACGTACTCGTGTACGTGACACATGTTCCTTGTTTTTGTCTGTATAAACGACTCCTTAAAAGGAAACATACACTTGTACGTGACACATGTTCCTTGTATTTGTCTGTATAAACGACTCCTTAAAAGGAAACATACTCGTGTACGTGACACATGTTCCTTGTATTTGTCTGTATAAACGACTCTTTAAAAGGAAACATACTCGTGGAAGTGACACATCTCACTTGAATGTGTCTGTATAAACGACTCCTTCGTATGAAAATACCTACTTTATGCGAATATATTTTTAAACAATGAGGTGTATTGTACTGAAAGAAAACAAGGGTGTCGTCTGTTATTAAATGTCATGGTCATTGTGTAACAACTTACTAAATCATGGGGGCACGGGTGGCCCAGTCGTCTAAGGCACCGCGATTCGCTGTGCAGAGTTGCGTCCCTTGGGCACGCCAGAAACCTATGAGCGTGGGTTCGA